TATACACAATGGAATACTACTCAGCCATAAGAAACGATGAAATCCAGCCATTTGTGACAACATGGATGGACATTGAGGGTATTATGCAAAGTGAAATAAATCAGAGGGGGAAGGTCAAATATGATTTCCTTCATTAAGTAGTAGATAATAACAACAATAAACAAACACAAATAGAGACAGACATTGGATTTGTGGTTACCAGAGGGGAAGTGGAGAGGGAGGAGGGTGAAAGGAATAATTCGGCACATGTGTGTGGTGATGGGTTGTAATTAGTATTTGGGTGGTGAACATGATGTAATCTATGCAGAAATAGAAGTATAATGATGTACAACTGAAATTTATACAATGTTATAAACCAATGTTACTGCAATAAACAAAAAATAAAAAAAAAAAATTGTGGGTAAACCAACTGTCTCAAGAGCTAGGTAAGGAGATTCACCAAATTGATCTGATGTGAAAGCATCAAAAATGAATTCACAGGGCTGGCCTGGGGCGTAGCAATTAAGTTCATGTGCTCTGCTTTGGCGGCCTGGGGTTCGCAGGCTCGGATCTCGGGTGCGGACCTACACATCACTTATCAAGCCATGCTCTGACATGCGTCCCACATATAAAGTAGAGGAAGAGGGGCACGGATGTTAGCCAAGGGCCAGTCTTCCACAGCAAAAAGAGGAGGATTGACAACAGATGTTAGCTCAGGGCTAATCTTCCTCACCAAAAAAAAAAAAATTTAATTCACAAAGTCTGTGGAGCTCTGTGGGAAAAAAATTAACATTTAAATGAAAAATATAAAATGTTATCTAGGCTATCATTGCAACCATCTAAGAATTACGTCCGGAATGGAAAAGGACTGAACACAACTAGCCAGGTGGCCATGACTCTTTTTCCTTTTGATTCTCTATCAAATATTGGAGTATTGGATCTGGCAAATAAAAAGTTGGAGAAAAGGCAAAAGTTCTTTTCAGCAGTAGCAGTCCTGTCAAAGAGATGATAAAAAGGAATGTGAGAACCGGGATGTTTCCATTAATATTCGCTGAAGAACAACGAAAACATCACCGGGAATTCCAAGTGGAAACTACAGCTTCGGCAGGATCAAGCCTCTGTTTCGTAGTCAAGTATCTGATGTGCAGATTGGTTCGTTTTATAATTTTATTTATTTATTCATTTTTCCCCCAAAGCCCCAGTAGATAGTTGTATGTCATAGCTGCACATCCTTCTAGTTGCTGCATGTGGGACGTGGCCTCAGCATGGCTGGACAAGCAGTGCGTCGGTGCGCGCCCAGGATCTGAACCCGGGCCCCCAGCAGCGGAGCGCGCGCACTTCACCGCTAAGCCACGGGGCCGGCCCTGGTTCGTTTTAAACACATCCCTTTATTAGAATAAGGAAACAAAAATCTGTGTTCCCGAGAGTGTGGAAAAAAAAGACCCTCTCCGCTTTTGCTTCTAAAACATATGATGGTATCAGTCAAAATTACAAATCTACATACTCTGACCCAGCAGTACTACTTACAGGAATTTTTAATGTAACTATACCACACACATACAAAATAACATATTATTATATGTTTTTTTTATTATTATAAACATACGTTTATAATAGCTAGAGATTGAAAACAACCTCCTAAATGCCTACCAGCAGGGTACCTGTTACATTGTGGTCCATTCCATGTGGTCCATGGAATATTATGCAACTGTTTAAAAAAAATGAGGACTCCCTTATCACCAGTCACCAAACTTTTCCTTTAAAGGGCAAATGGTAAATATTGTTAGCTTTGCAGGCCGTAAGCTCTCAGTAGTGATTACTCAACCCCACTGTGCAATGTGAAAGCAGCCCTAGACAACACTTAAAATAATGGGCGTAGGGCTGGCCCGGTGGCATAGCGGTTCAGTGCACGCGCTCCACTTTGGCATCCCAGGGTTCACGTGTTCGGATCCCACGTGCGGACTGATGGCACCACTTATCAAGCCGTGCTGTGGCAGCATCCCATATAAAAAGTAGAGGAAGATGGGCATGGATGTTAGCCCAGAGCCAATCTTCCTCAGCAAAAAGAGGAGAATTGGCATCAGATGTTAGCTCAGGGCTGATCTTCCTCAAAAAAAAACAATAATAATAATGGGCATGATTGTGTTCCATTAAAACAGTATCACTAAGATAGGCGGAAGGCTGGATTTGTCCCTTGGGCTGTAGTTTGCTGACCTTAATATGACAATGGAAAGTGATCTCCAATATATATTGTTATGTCAAAGCTCAAGAGGTGGGCCGGCCCCGTGGCTTAGCGGTTAAGTGCACGCGCTCCACTGCTGGCGGCCCGGGGTTCGGATCCCGGGTTCACAGCGATGTGCCACTTCTCCGGCCATGCTGAGGCCGCGTCCCACATACAGCAACTAGAAGAATGTGCAACTATGACATACAACTATCTACTGGGGCTTTGGGGGGAAAAAATAAAAAATAAATTAAAAAAAAAAAAAAACAAGAGGTAGGACACCATACAGAGCTACTGTTGTGGGAAAAAATGGGAGGGGTGGAGTGTGTGTGTGCACACAGGCTCACACATGCGTGAAATTTCTCTGAAAGAATGAAGCTGACAAGATCATTGCCTCTGAGGAGAAGGACTGGGAGGCTAGGAGATGGAAGCAGGAAGAAAAGTTTTAGCTGTCTACCCTTTTGTACCTTTTGAACTTTGATCTCTGTAATATATTATCTATTCAAAGAATAGTGAACCAAGGCTGTTCTCTCCAGGCTCTTATGGCTTCCTTTTGTTTTTACCGTTATCAGTTGTTATAAACGACAATAGTTGATTTGTAGCTTTTACATAGTCATACTCAAGGTGGTGGCGATCATCCCAGCTGTGTTTTATATACGACAAACTCTTCCCTTACCCAGGCTTTTCTTAGAAGCACCATTTTTCACAGCCTCTGAGTCTGAGAAGTCAAAGTCAGAAGCAACAAAATGGTGTCCAGGCTTCCAGTTCCCTCACAGTTCCAGAACTGGACTATCAGGGACATTGCATGCATATGAGAATGATAGCCTGGGGGTGAGGAGAGGAAAGGAGGGAAAAGGGGAGAGAGAATATGACAATATCATCAAGAGTCTTCAAGAAATTCTTTCATCTTTCACAGGAAGTCCAACCATGACTCTTGGGTGAGCAATGGCACCTATTTGGAACTTAGGAAAGATCCTGGTTTTTCCAAACTGGACCATCCTGTCTTGTGGTGAAAAAGCAAAGGATACATCTTTGTCCTTCTCCGTGTTTGCTTTCTGAAGCCACAAATCTGTGTCTGTATATTTAAAAGATATTATCTAGAATGATCACTTGTGCTTAGCTTAGCATTATATTTAAGTACATATTTTCTTCAGTAGGTTTCTTTACAGTTTCAAATGTTATAATGGTTGTTTATATGAATGTAGAACACCTTGATATTTCTTTTTATATATAAACTATTTAATAAAAATGAAAGACTGAATGTTATTGTATGGGTTAAAAAAGAAGCTTTAACACTAATTTTCCAAAGGTTAGGAAAATTCAAATTAAATTTATGCCTTATAAAATTATGTTGGAGAAAAAAAATCCATCTTTCCCAGGTGCATTAAGAAATGAGAATATCCAGGGTTACTCACCCATGCGTAAGCTACCCAAGTTTAATTTGGTAGCACAGATATTTTTTTGCCTCAGACAGCTCTTGAATTGCTCCTACAGAATAATTCTGCTGGTGCTGGCGTCTGAAGAATATTTGCATTTGCATTTTGGTGATTGGGAGGATGGTATAAGATCATTGGGATGTCTGTTTTTATGTAAGATGGATATGGCACCTTCTTGAAGAGGAAGCATTTGAGTTCATCCTTCCCTATAGTTTTATTGCCTCGTGTGCAAAATTGTACCCTGTTACTCAGAGAAATTGTTGTTAATCTGAGAAATCCCCATTAAGTAAATGTTATAATGACATCCCAGAGACGCAGTCGGAAATTTCTCCATAGTGAGAAGTGAATCCTTGACAAGAAACCATTTTCTGTTTCCTACTCCACCCCTAGCTTCCTCCCTCTCTGCCCAGTTTGACCACATCTCTGTTGAGTAGGGAATGTCCCAGTTTACTGTAAAACATCCAGCACATTCCACACAGCAGTTTGACTTCCTAAAAGTTTAGCAAAATAACTGATTGTTTTAAATAACTCAACATGTTTTCTTAAATAATGTCTTGGTATTTTCTACCTCTTGATAAGCACTGTATTTTAGATCGTGTATAAAAAGTTTGACCATCTGCCTTATAGACAAATGTAGAGAATTGATGTTCTTCCTTTGTGTTGTGTTCTGTTAAAGGTTTAGATGTCTTATCCCTTTCCTACACTTTCTTCTTACTCATATCACGCTTTTATGAGTTTTGCAGCAGTCTTGAATAGTACAGATTATGACTACCAAATGGGGAAACTTTGTCTTTTTAAATGTATTGTTTCAAAGTACAATAATAGAATTTGTGCAGTCGTTGAATTGTGTTATCAAAGCAGTTCCAACTTCTGCCCAGATTACATTAAAACCAAAGCCTAACTTTTAAACCTTTCGCTCTAATGTTCATAACAATCCTATGGAATATCAAGTATAACGGCTTGGTAAAAAGATTTCTCTGGAAAACATTTTTAGATATTTAAACAATTTCAGAATGCTCTGAATGAAAAGTAGAATAAATAACAGAAGAAAAGAATGCGTGATTTTTCAGTGTCACACCAAATAACTAGTTGGACAGTATTGCATTTTCAAAATGGAGAGTTATTTTAAGTGGATCAGTAGCCTTTTGGAATCTGCAAGTGACTAGCATTTTAAAACAATAAAGGCTCATAGAATATTACATTCATTCATTCCATTTTATCAAGACATCAAGATGAACACAATGTGAATATCATTTCCATTTCTAAGCAGTTAAATGACACAATCAAATTCTTTGGTATATGCTCTGTTCTTTTCTTTTCAGGCCTGCATCTAAATTCTGCTTACAGATGGGAAGAAGCAGGCTGTAGATTTAAGGGTACTCAAGAGAAAAACAAATCTAGTTCTCACAGTGTGAAGGTAAATGCAGAATTTTGGTAATATTGACTATTAAAATAGGCCTGCTCCAGAGGCTAGCTCAAAAAAGAAAAAAAACAACAATAAAAACAAAACTTGTAGCCTGAATGGATGTAGCTTTGTCATGCAGGATTTGGAAATTCTTTGTCTCAGTGCTGTTATTTCAGTTGATCCTATGCTTTATTTTAGGATCACCAGGCTAAATGGACCAAATATCACCTTTGTAGGCATCTTATTTAAAATGGGAGTGGGGATGAATTAGAATATGATACAGAATTGTATGCAAATTTTAAAATCTACTATTCAGTACCAGCATCTATAAAGGGCTTTTCTGAAATTTAAACAGCTTGGTGTCACATCCTGATATTATAATCTTAAAACTACCTTGAGGGGGAAATGGCTTTTTTTCCCCTTCAGTCCCTATTTTCAAAAGCACCTTCCCACCTAATTTGTAGCTCAAGGGCATTTTATAATTTTAAGATGAAGAAAACAGAAATATGACATTGTTTGGAAAGAATTGAGGTAGAATTTAATTTTCTGAACTTTGAATCTCCTGATTGAATAATACCAATCACTGTACCATTTGAGATACATGTTTTAACCTCTATTTTATTCCCAATTATTCCATCCCAAATTGATGGTGAGATACATAGATATTCTTGGAAACGGGACTTTGTGCAGCCAGCCACACTGCGCTTCAGGTGGGCCACTTGCCAGTATTGACCACCCCAAGCTGTAGGAGATCCGTTCGTAAAGGAGCCAACAGTCTCCAGTGTAGCTGGGCAGCAGATCGCTTCCCTACCCAGGCCCCAAAGCAGAGGTTGATGTTTCCCTGCGTCAAATGAAATAAGCAAAGTCTCAGTGCAGCTTCTCTGTGCAGTTCACCTCTCAGAAGCCAGGCTGGTTCTGCTACTAATTAAACAGTTCCCTTTAAGACAATAGTCCAGTTACCGTTCAAGTCCCCAGAATGCCCAAATAGCCCCCACAGTCTCCATGTGCTTCCTGTGGGTCTCTCTGCAAGAAAAAAATATGCAAACCAATTATTTTTAATGTTTACTTCATTTGGGTTGCTGCCTTTCTCATATTCTACTTTCAGTTACTTCCAATAAGTCCTTTGCTTGGGCTTTGAGTACTGTCCTTCATCTGTATTTTCCAGATTCATGATGAGCGTTTTCTCCTACTATTTTTTTTTTTCTTTTGGTGAGGAAGATCAGCCCTGAGCTAACATCCAATGCCAATCCTCTTTTTGCTGAGGAAGATTGGCCCTAGGCTAACATCCATGCCCCTCTTCCTCTACTTTATATGGGACGCCGCCACAGCACGGCTTGACAAGCGATGCATCGGTGCGCACCCGGGATCCGAACCTGCAAACCCCGGGCCACCACTTACTTAACCGCTGCGTCACCGGGCCGGCCCCTATTCTACTAACAATGTCAACCCTAAAAGAAAAATAATGAAGTTTTTATTTGGCTGTTGAATCTTTTTGTAGGCCTACGACATATACTACAAGTTATATTATGCCTTCCAGCTATCGTAGAATGTCCTCAGATCGTTTAGTTATGAGTAGGAGCAATAAGAAATTGTTATTATGATCTTAGGAATAATAGTTCCAATATATTGGCATAATTTATTTGAATGGCTTTAATTTTGATATTAACGTCAGCATAAATCTATTTTTGCTACCAAATGATAGCTATTTTCATGTGCTCAATTTTCCTCTGCATTGTATTAATCTGTTACTCGGTGTTAGTGTTTATTGTTCTGTGTTGGAAATACGTATCACATAAGTATCGCATATCATGGCTGTCTAAATGCAGATCATTTTTGGAGACTTTGGTTTTGGGGAATGCAATGATAAAAAGTTGCTAATTTATTTTATTTGTGGTGATTTTCTCTTCCTCTGTTACCTTCAGAGGATACTATTTTTTTTTTAATGGATATTTGTAAATCTTCCATCTAACTGTTTATAAGATTATTTTCTGTCTAAATTCCACCCTTCCACCCTTCACCCTATGCCTCCCCAAAAAGCTCTAATTTGTTTATCCCCCTCATATAACTAGTTGACTGCGAATAAATAACATGGAAAAAGGCCACCTTTGTCTTTGTTTTTCCAGGTTAATGGGTGTATGTGGCTGCTGGAAGGGGACAGAGCAAGACTCTTGCCTAGGCTCTTTTGAGGAAGAAACACACCAGCTTACCTAAAATGAAGGGGTTTGGAAATCAGAATATCCTGGGACATAAGGAAACTTGGAAGCCATAAAGTTGCCATACTTTTGGTCCCAACATTTCCAAGGTGTCCTACAAATGTAGGACCCTCAGCTCTTAGGACAGGGGACCGGAGGCAGCTGGAGCCCCAGGAGCCCCTAGAAGCCCCCTCTCTTTACCCTAGCATGCTATGGAAATAGCGTTATTTTTCTGTTACATCCTACCATGAAAAAGGAAAATGCTGACTACTCTCACCAATTTAATGGCTCTTAGGAATGACTGACTTATGTCCTCCCATACCTAAGTGGTATCCTTTGCAACTCCAGGAACACTCTTACTCTTCACTAAAGTTCCATTTGTTTCGGTTGATATGTTTGTGGTGTTACACAAGACATTGGATTGCAGAGGTGGACACATAAAGTCGCCTCTCTGCATCCCTGAAAACACTAAAGAGACAACCAAAAGCATTGCATGAACCTTGATTGGATCCTGACTTAAAAGAAAAACAAGCTATAAAAGACACTGAAATTTGCATCTAAACAATGAAATTATTGCTAATTTTCATATATTATGATATTGCCTGTTGATCCGAATCAAATCTGCCATCAAAGGAGGATCATTTTCCAGCATTATTCAAAATAATATAAACACTAAAGGAAATTTTAAAAGGCAACCTCAGAATAATTTAACATCTTGGCCATTATTGGAATAGGTGTTAAAGCATCCTAAGGTGTCGATTTTGAGGAGGCAATGACTTGGAGGTATAAGTTCCAGGCCATTAGTTTACAAACCTAGTCATATTATTTTTTAGTCGTACCAATGGAATACCTGCATTAACATCATTAATGTCCATCAGTGACCAGCAAATCAGGACATCACTGTCCTGGTTGATGCCAGTCAAGGGTTCCTTAGTAGGGACTAATTAGTTGGGGTTCCTGCAGGAAATAGAATCCAACTCTGATCATTCACAGACTTGAATGAAGGGGCTGCTTGCTGGGCTGTTAGCAGGTTGAAGGCACTTCAGCAACAACTGAAAGTTGTCACTGCCCCTGCAGTAGCAGGACCTCTGAAGGAGGGAAGGGCTATCAGGAGCTATGGTGGAGGGACGGACGTTCGGCCTCTGCCAGAAAGCCCAGACCATCGTAAGGAAGAACCGTCCCAACCCCTGTGTCCTCTGGCCTCCATTCTCCCTAGTGGCTGAACCTAAGTGAGCACGGGAGTCCCCAACCCATAGAGCTCAGCCCCTGGGGCATGGGGAGGGCCGGGCAAACAGAAAAACAAGCACCGGGACCTGATAGTCACAGAAATAGTTGGTGTCTGAGCTTTCAGAGGAATTTTCAGTAAGTAAATAGGCTTAAGAGCCCATTCTTTTTTGGAGAGGATAGAATTTGCTAAATTATTCTGGCTCCCAGTCATTTTACCAAGGATGAATTATGATTAACTGTGCTTTTAAAAACTCTCTGCTTCTCCGTGATATTATTTTTGTTGTTGTAACATTTTTAACGAGCTAAGGGCAGCCTCTCCTCTTTATTAAATGCCATAATTTAAACAGATATCACACTGGGAAAGATATATCAACTTGTTACCGAAACCAAAGTGGGTTCGCCTCCTGGCGAGTTAAATCAGACTCCACCAGAAGTAGTTGTTTCACAGAGTAAGGTATGTTAGCAGCAAAAAGGAGACCATGCAGAATCATTTCCAAAGTCATGGTGTCACATGGTGTCAGATCGGTGTGGTGAAGTCCCAGGTTCTTGGTCCACAGACACAGAAGGATTTGAGAGCAGATACACAGCAGAAGTTTTGACAGAGGAGGATTTATTAGCAAAGCAAAAGTACACCCCCAAGGGGAGGGGCGGGCAGGCTCGAGGTGAGTAACTGCCCCAAAGTTGTGGTGGTCAGTGGCTTTGGAAAGTCAGGTATTGGGGGCGGGGGAGGGTCTTGGAAGGTAGACCAATGGGGGCATTGTCTCCACCCTCACTTCGGGAGGGGGAGATTTTTTCCTTACATAGACATCTCCGGAACTGTCATGGCGGTGATCCCCTGCAAGGGGGCTCAAAAGCGCAATGCAATTGAGGGTATAGTGAGGCTTGGGGCTACTCCGGTCAGGGTCAGGGGAGTGCTGCATGTCCAGAGAGCCGCTGCCTGGTAATTAGGACGCTGCACCGGGTGGAGTGACCTTGCTCCCAGCTCATACCTAGCTTCCTGCCTCATTCCCCCCTCAAGAGGTCTCGAGGGCTGGCCCTGTGGCTTAGCGGTTAAGTGCCTACGCTCCGCTGCTGGCGGCCCGGGTTCGGATCCGGGCGCGCACCTACGCACCGCTTCTCTGGCCATGCTGAGGCTGCGTCCCACATACAGCAACTAGAAGGACGTGCAACTATGCAACTATGACATACAACTATCTGCTGGGGCTTTGGGGAGAAAAAGGAGGAGGATTGGCAATAGATGTTAGCTCAGAGCCAGTCTTCCTCAGCAAAAAAATGAGGAGGATTAGCATGGATGTTAGCTCAGGGCTGATCTTCCTCAAAAAAAAAAAAAAAAAAAGAGGTCTTGAGACCCTGAAATCCTTCAGGGGAGTGGGACATGGAGCCTCTTCTTTAGCTACTTCCTGCTGAAAGGGGGCGACGTGCCAGGGTCTCGAGTATCGTCTTCCTCTCTGTCTGGGAGCAGGGTGGACCTAGAATTGGGTATCCACCATAGATGGGGCTCTCTCCTGGATATCCTGATGGAATCTTGGGGCAGCTGCATCCAGGGGCAAATAGAGGTCTCCTGGAGAGGCATGTTGTTAGAGAGAGGTGTATTTGACCATAGAGAATGTCGTTGGCTGAACGAGCATTTGGAACTTTATGGCCTCTATGCAGGCAGAAATAAACCTA